GTAACGTCTCCCCCAACGATTTCCTTTCAAGTTCGGGGTGCCGTCACCGACAAAAAAACAACGCCGTTGGTTCAACAGGACCGTCGGCACTTTGGTGGATCAGGGGTATATAGAAAAGGTGAATGTCCTGAGAAAGGACACATCCAAGCAAGTGGACCGATGCCTAAGGGTCGTGGCCATGTATGAAGGCTAAGAGCACGAAGTTGGTGGGTGCTTTTTTGAGATATGATGATGATTACGTCGAAATCTCAAAATCCGCTTGATACTGATTAATGCTAATATGTTGCAGGAAGGAATGATTCCCCGGCTGAATATACTCCGGAGGCATCGGGATCATCGAGAGTTCGCAGCACCAACGATAATAATCAATTAGGCGTATACGCAGAGTTACCTTTGGATTATCAAGTTTATCGCTTGATACAAGGTTCAAAGGAGAAAGGAATGGTTGGTGGGGTATGCAATCGAGCAATGTGTTCAGATGCAAACGATGAAAATACATTTAGCGTCGGGATCGTTGAACTAACGGTGTATACATTCAACTTCCATCAAGGAAATTACGCGCGCGTTTAATAATATGAATCATCGCGTCCTGACAAAGATTCTCGATCGACTCGTTATACCTCCACCTTCGAACCTGCGTCGGTTCGCCGTAAAGCGAGCGGTTGAGTTTAGAGGGCGTGAGAGGCGCTATCGCTATTTCTCTCTTGAGGGATACACGAAATTTGCTGTCAATCATGGAATGAAATTAGACGAGGAGGATGAAAAAGATGAGAATCAATTGCTCTCGGTAACTCCCACGCGTGACCCCATGTGGGGGGTGGAGTTACTTGATGATGGTGAGGTTGAGAAGGATGACGACTTTTTGCCGTCACCGCAAGCCAGAGAGCGACGCCGAAAGAAAAAGGAGAAATGGCGTTCAGGTCCTATCGTTGAGTCAACCCCTAAAGTATCTAGGAAGCGAGGTCGTCCCAGAAAAACCACGGCACCTTCCCCCGAGGAAGAAGGGCCGCCCAAACCCAAAAGCAAGGGCGGGAGACCTAAAGGGAGTAAAAATAAGAAACCTTCGGTCAAAAAGGCGCGAATTGATGATGAGGGGGCCGCTATCTCCGACAATGATTCAAGGGAAATTAATAAAGACCCGCCGCTCTCCTCGGTCGAAGTGACTTCTAATAATGTTGATGGCGACGCAACTAGAAATAGCTCGATCGATCCTTTTACTCCTGCGGAATCACGGTCATCAGAGTCCGCCAATGTCGTCGAAAGATCCTTGACATCAGATAATAATTCTTCCAACCAAGTACTCGATGGACGTTCCCCGACGGTGAAGAAACGTCGAGGTAGACCCAAAAAAGCAGCCAACGTTTTGTCGGACCCCGTTAATGTTGCAGACGTCCTGGCATCTAATATCAATGACAGTGGTGTGATTGTTAACAACGGTAGATCGAATCGAGCCGACCAAGATCAACAAACCACAAGCATGGGTCAACTCCACAAAGGTCGAGGCATGAGCAAGAAAACGGAAGCGCTTTCATCCAGACCTGACACAACGAGTGGTTTTACCGACCACTCAACGACTGCCAATGCTTTGGCTAAAACTTTAGACCCGACTGACTCTCCGTTTCTCGGCTCAAGCTACGACAATTCCGTTGCCACTAATTTGGTTATGGCAAGTATAGACCCGAGCTTTTCCGAACCACAAGATCTTACGGATACAGGTGCGAGGTCGGCTTCAACGTTTAATTTTGCTCCCTTGTTTACCGACGGATCTCTATCAAATGCCCACACGGGATGGGAGAGACTTGATTCTTACAGGACGCATGGTGACCTGATGAATCCCGATAGCGAATTTGTTTTCCAAAACGATATTCATTCCTATGATATATCCGACCCTTATTCTGACGCTTCCATCAACAGTCAGATTGTTCACTCATCGCCAACCGGTCAAAACATAAATCTAGATCCGGCTACCTCCGCTAACCTCAAAACGGATCTGAACCTCAGTACGGAAATCAGTGAACATTATTCCGATGCACAAAATTTCCGCGAGAAAACAACGAATTCTCACAGTACAGCATCGGCGAACGTTTCTGAAGATAATAATCCAGCTCTGGAATCGGAACTTCAAGTCGACGACGATCGTGAGAGATCCGATGAGGTTGAGGCCGGTCCTTCTGAAATAACGCCAGCTGCTTCTCAAGGAGGACTGACAAAGAACCCAAGTGCCTTGGAAACTCTCAATGTGAAAGTGAGGTCCGATGAAGCTGCCTCGAAAATTGTCAGAAGGTCAAAACGAAAGGACTCGGACGATGGTGCACTATCTTTCAACAAGAAAAGGAAGGTATCCTCGCACGTTTCCAATGCAGAAGAAAAAGTCGGCAAACAAGTATTGGCTAAAAAAAGGAAGGTCTTTACACCTGCTTCGATCACAGCGGCGCTTCGACAAAAAGTGCTCACACGTCTCCTGGAGGAACATCAGGTTATCGAGCATAGTGCTGAACTGGTCAAGTTATACCAGCAGACATTGGCCAAGGAATCTAATGTTACGACCACACCGCATGTCATTGACAAGAAAACACTTCAGAGGGCTGCCGCGACGATGGAGGAAAAAGGGCTACTCAAGACTTACAATGTATCTCTGCCTTTACTAAACGGCGGTAGCAATACCAAACTTCTTTTCCTTCATCCCAGTTTAACACCATCGAGTCCCGTGGTGAAGGAATACGTCACCAAGATGTTGGACAGGGCAATACTCATCGGAAGGTCATTTAAGCCGTCTAAAATAGAGGAAGTAAATATAGAGGTCGAACCGCTCGAAGAATTTCAAAGGCGTGTTGCTGCTGAGGCTGCTGCCGGCGAAACAACAATTACACTTGAGGTGCCTCCCGAATCTAACGCGAATGTCCCCAATTCGTATGAAACCTTGACGAGTTTCGTTGCACCGGGGGATGATTCCGAGGATGGTGCCGCTGAAACCAGACGCCATAACGATAACAAAAGTTTACAAACCTCCAATGAAATGTGGTGGCTTCACACCGCTCGAGGTTACGGTTGGATCAACGCCAAAATGATTCGCGCTAAAATTCTTCACCAATATTTGATCACTAAAATTTCCGACGCTGCGCCTGAAGGGAATTACATTGACAGAAACTCCAGAACCTTTCACACAGCGATCCTCATACGGGACCTTCCTCTCGACTTGTACCTCAAGA